GAGAGTGAGAGAGAGAATGAGAATGGTTAGCGAGGGATTGAGAAAGCAGGCGAAATTTGAAGGTAGCCTCAGAGTTTGTAAATAATAGTGGCATCAGATACAATAATCTAAAATGGTTTCGATGCATCTAAGTAATTATCAGAGAAGCAGCACTAACTCTGTATGTCCACACTGCTTCATATATATGATCCACCAAGACCGGATATATATATACTGATCCGCAGCTATGGTGTAATTCTGAAAATTCTCGTCATTATGTCGTGTGCTTCTAAAACCTCCGCGCTGCAGTTAATATTCACATAATTAGTATGGCTATATTTCCATGTTGCGTTACGGAATCGACTCCAATGTTGGCGTTCTGTTGGGAAATTTTAGTTTCAGTGTTCAGGAAGGAAATGGGTTCAATCAAAATGAATAGCCTATGTTTAATTTGATAAAACTCAGCCGCCGTGGCCAAATTCCCGACCTCCGTAACGGAATTTAACTTTTATAATTCCTATTAGAGGTATTGCCAGATCGTCGTGACCGGCAAGCCTTCATTTTGTCATGGGAATGTCCCCTTGGTGCGTGGAGTATGAAGGACTAGAGGGAGCAGCTAGGAGGTGTAGTAACACAGGAAGGTGCTGGGCGTGACGGCTCTGGCCCCATTGTCGCGGTCGAGCAAAGGTTGTAGCCTAACACCAAAAGCCATAAGTCTTTCCTCAATCCCATGGCGGTTTAATCTGAATTTATTAAACAGTTTATGAGCTCCGAAACACCGCAAGGTTGTCTATAACAATAATATCCTTGAGGTTAAGAGCGACCTCGCTTACGGGCTCACCATAGCCCGTGCTACAGGGATATTTCGTTATGAGAAGCTAAATCTAAAAACGACAACAACAGCGACCTCGAAGTGCTTCCAAGCTAGTAAACTGTTTGATAAATACAAAGCTGCGATGATCAAGGACAGATGTAGAGGTTTCGTAAGCAGACACACAAATGCTTGATAACACGATCGCTGATAGTGTTACTGTGAATAATTATGTCACAGTAATTACTAATTACTGTGATGATTATTAATATGGTAATCATCACTCTAATTTGGTAAATCCATAAGAGATTTGCAAAATTTGATTAGTAATACAGTGACTATTATCTCGTTTTTCGTATCGTATTCACATTTACTAATTCCGTATTTACAATGAACCGTGCTTCCTAACATCACTGTACCTTATTAGTAAAATGGAATACCTTACTAGTGAATGGAATACCTTACTAGTGAAAACTGGGTGAGAATAGCTTGCACTACCTCATCCCTTAGTGTGTTTTTATACCTCAATAAACTTATTTCAATTTAAATTTGAATTGAATTACTAGAGAATGGAATACCTTACTAGTGTCACGTCTCCCGTAGGTGCAATTAGTGTGTGTGGCAAGGATGAAGTTGAACTAGACATGTTGAGCTCTACTGTTGTTGCTAGCTAGCTAGCTAGCTACCTAGCTAGGTACGAGAGCTAGCTAGGTACCCACACGTGACGTTGGTTCCACCTTGAATCAACTGTTAGGCAACGTTGATGACTCCCAAAGGCCTGAGATCAAAGTATGAAAAGTGATTTGATTTGTTTAGGACCGAAACCTGTGAGTCTTTCCCTTGGAGCCCCACACTCTGCTAGCTTTCCACTTCAGTGTTGCATTATGTTTACCAAATTAGCCCAGAAATCATGAAGCATTTACGCAATTGCCTGCGAAACATGTACATCTTTCCTGTTTTACGAGCTCGGTACTTCACAACCCATGGTTATTAGTGTTATACACAACCTCGTATATAGCGCTTCGGAGCTCATAAACTGTAAAGTCTTTAATGTAAATAAAGCCGCCATGATTGAGAAAAGATGTACAGGTTTCGTAAGTAGATGCGTAAAAACTTGATGAATGCTGGAGAAGGCGAGTATAGACCCGGAACACTTATGACTGTGACGCAAGGGTGAAGTAACGTACACTTTCGTTTAGTGATGAGTTTGTTACAACAGGTTGTTGTGTTATGGTGTGTGTGTGTGTGTGTGTGTGTGTGTGTGTGTGTGTGTGTGTGTGTGTGTGTGTGTGTGTGTGTGTGTGTGTGTGTGTGTGTGTGTGTGTGTGCGCGCGCGCGCGCGCACGCGTGCTGTAACTGGGGGGTGTAATTAAGTCATTGCGCCTGGTGTAGAGTGGAAGCTGGGAACATGGTTGTTGTTGTTGTTATAGATTCAGCTACTCGGAACAAGTTCCAAGTAGCACGGGCTATGGCGACCCCGTAACTTACCTGGCACAGGAGCGGGGCAAATAGCACGGGCTAAGGTGAGCCCGGAGTGAACTTACCTGGCACAGGAGCGGTGCCGTCTGTGGGAACATGGGGGTCAGCGTGAGCTTTAAGCAGGGGGTACGTGCTGCACCAGCATGAGGTACAAGCTGGGACCAGTGGACGAGGCAGCAGCAGGAACTAACTACCCAGAGTGCGTAGTTGGGTAGGAATCGATACACAAACAAAGGGGTATCGCGGCGCGCGTTGCAGACAGAGGGCTCGAGTTCCTAGCCTAGCGTGATATTAAATCCTGCCTGGTCGCAGCAGGTTGGGGGGTGGTGTAGGTGTTTCTTAATCATTGTCATCAACCCTGTTGCACAAGCCTAGTGTAGTTGTTATCACCTGACTCATTGACTCACGGTCATGTGTCAGAAATGCTTAACTGTGATCACAAGGGGAGTATTGTATGGTAGTTGTTCAACCACTAAAATGGGTCTGGTTGATCAACTAGTCAAGCAGGGCTGGTTGATGGCGTAATCAACCAGGTCAGATTGATTACGCTCTGGTCCTCTGATGATATTAGCTGGCGATGTATTTTTTGTTTAGTGATGTGCTACAATTACCGGATATAGGAACTTTAGTTCTAACACGGAGGATATCCGAACCTATATCATTTACAAACTGAGAAATATTAAATTTTGAAGTTCTTGCGTTGCTAAAAGTTTGTATTCCAGAGGTTGTGAGGAAGTTTGTGGTGGTAGTGGTAGTAGTGGTTGTAGTAGTGGTGGTACCTAACAGCGTCTACCAGAGAGTGAGGTCTGGCTCTTCACGCCCCGCCTACCAACCTTGTTCCTGTTGCGATACAATTGAACTATTTTGACGTTCAATTTACGTGTCAAATCTGGTCTTAAAGTTGTGTATGGAGGTGGCTTACACAACTCCTGCTTTCAAGGCCTTCCACTTGTTGAAACCCCCCGTCCAGGATACGAGTATTTCCTTACATTCCTTCGGCTCATTTGCGTTTCCAAATACCACCTGCGTCCTCTTGCCCTACTTTCTTTCAATGTGAAGAGGCTAACCTGGTCCGTCTTATATATTCCTCTCAGTATCTTATATATTATATATTCTTATATATTATATATTCCTATCTATAGGAATGTAGAATATATCCCCATGTGTACCCTATATATTCCTATATATCTTATATATTCCTCTCAGTATCTTGTATGTTGTAATCATATCCCCTCTGTTTCTGATATCCTTTAGGGTTAAAGGATATCGGTTTCCGGTTATCTTTCGATGATATCGAACATCAGTCTCTGACCAGGCCTCCTGGTTGGTGGTCTGATCAATCAGGCTGTTCGACTCGGCTGTGAGCAGCCTAGCTTAACCCTCTAAGCTCTGGTACCACTCTTATTGCAAACCTTTGTACTTTTTTAATCTATGCTTCACAAGGTTGTGGTTTCCATGCCGGCGCTGCATATTCCAGTGTTGGTCTAACAAATGTTGTGTAAATTGCCTTGAAGGAGTCCTGGGGCCAGATTCACGAAAGCACTTACGAACGTGTACATCTTTCCTCAATCTTTGACGGCTTTGGTTACATTTATTAAACAGTTTACAAGCATGAAAACTTGCCAATCAACTGTTGTTATTGTTATAAACAGCCTCCTGGTGCTTCGGAGCTCATTAACTGTTTAATAATTGTAAACAAAGCCGCCAAAGATTGAGAAAAGATGTACACGTTCGTAAGTGCTTTCGTGAATCTGACCCCTGATTTAGGCATTTAAATGATGTTCTAATGTTTGCCAGCGTCCCATATGCTGCTGATGTTACCTTATTTATGTATTGCTACGGTGTTAATGTTGAATTTATATCCACTTCCAAATCTTTCTCTCTTTGCAATTCTTGTAGTTGATTTTTCCTTATTTTTTTATATATTTTTTTATTTATATATACAAGAGTTCGTACATTCTCGTGCAGCCACTAGCACGCATAGTGTTTCGTCCTTAATCCTAATATTCCCTATTAATCCTTAATTCGTCCCTATCCTAATATTCCCTATTAATCCTTAATCCTAATAATCCTAATATAAAGTCCTTAATCCTAATATTCCCTATTAATCCTTAATTCGTCCCTATCCTAATATTCCCTATTAATCCTTAATCCTAATAATCCTAATATAAAGTCCTTAATCCTAATATTCCCCGGAATACGACCCGCCAAATCGTTTAACAACCAGGTACCCATTTTACTGTTGGGTAAACAGAGGCTACAGTTAAGGATTGACGCCCAGTAAATCCTTCCCCGGCCAGGATACGAACCCAGTACAAAGCGCTCTCGATACGCCAGGCGAAAGGCTTACCACCTCACCACGGGGACTGGTGGCCTCCAGGGGCCAGATTCACGAAACCACTTACGCAAGCACTTACGAACCTGTACATCTTTTCTCAATCTTTGATGGCTTTGTTTCCAATTATTAAACAGTTAATGAACTGCGAAGTACCAGGAGGCTGTTTATAACAATAACAACAGTTGAATGGGAAGTTTTCATGGCTTGTAAACTGTTTTATAAATGTAACCAAAGCCCTCAAAGATTGAGGAAAGGTGTACACGTTCGTAAGTGCTTGCGTAAATGCTTTCGTGAATCTGGCCACAGTTAAGAGCTACTACGTCACGACCCCGTAGCCAATGATAGATAAGCAGAGATAGGCAAGCACCGCCGCGTGTGGTGGTAGAGGAGGAGGAGGAAAGGGTCAGTCAGTACCGTGTCGACGGTGGTCGGGTGAGGGTGTGCGCGCTCGCGTGTGTGTCTGGGGGAGGTGCAGCGCTCCTCCGCTAGCTTCGACCCACTGCCAAAAACCGCATCTTGGTGTACCACTTGTTGGACGCTCTCTCCGTTCAAGCGGTGTTCACACGTGCTGTGAACAATCTGTGCCACTTTGTGTGTGTGTGTAGGACAAACTGAACACTACGTTGGTCCTGTCATGGATATAGACGGCAATATATGCGTATGTTAGGAGATTACAAGCGGCAGTCTGTGACTGATAAGGCGAAGAGGACAGTTAATATGGACTAAACTATGAACAAAGTATATGTGTATATATATATATATATATATACTTCAATAACATTGAAGTGTATATATATTGGGGAAGCCCAGAGTTTGTCTTGCATAGTGATAATTTCTTTACCATATTGAGAGATAGAATTCAAAGCTTAAAATTGGATTTATTTATATCGTAGGAAGATATATTCTGGATTTGAGGCGAGGTAGTGAGGGGCTTAACTACCAACCACCGCCTGGCCTAATAACCATTAGTGTTTAAGGTATGGACGGCCGGGAGACAGGGCATAGGCCTATATACCTCACTATACCCTCTATAACAAATTGGTTAGTACCCCGGGGGGGGGGGGTTAGTCATTATTAAACATGTCATTCTAAATTGCTCTTGTCCTTTCTTTTTAATTCATAAGTTTGACCACTGCTGATAGCTATGTAAAGTTGGAGTTTTATACGTCGCATACCCAGAGAAATGGCGTACTGTGTCTGGTGGATATGTTGTATACAGTAACCCTGATGTTACTGACTGGTACTTGGGAGTAGGGAAGTAGTCTTGGGAGCGCACACGCAAGCGCACGCACACAAAAATTAGTGTTCAAGACAGAATCTCACTATGGATATTGAGAGAGGGAGTATAGGCACTTTGTCGCACACTATGGTGTATAATAGGTCACTGGTAACTGGAGAACTACCAAAAAGTTGGAAGACGGCTAATAAAGTCCCAGAATTGAAGGCGAGATGTACAGAAGGCACTGCACTACAGGCCAGTGTCCCTGACTTGTAAACCATGTAAGGTGATGGAAAATATTTTTATTAAAAAGCTAGAACATCTGGAGAGAAGCAACTTTGTAACACTGCCAGCATGGGTTCAGGGATGGCAAATTTAGTCTGGCAGGTTTAATAGAATGCTATGACCAGGTGACCTATTTGACAGAGAAGGGTGGGCAGACTGCATATTTTTTGGGTTGTCAGAAAGTGCTCCTCGGTAAATACTGTCGGCCCCATAAGTACCCCATAAGAGACTCGTGCATCACTTGGAGGTGCAGGCAGGAGTGACAGGAACTGCAGGGGATTGGGAAGTCCCACAAGGTTAATTTTTCGGACCCATCCTATTTCTCGTACATTTTAAATGATCTTAAAGAGGGAATACGCATTCCTTTTAATGTTTTCTGGTAGAAAAATTATAAGGATTAAAACAGGAATGTCGGTAAGAGGCTAAAAGATGACCCGGACAAACTGAATGTTCCATTACTTTAAGTCCATGTGGTTTCCTGAATTCTACATCAAAATATCCGATGCATAAGCGAGGCTGGCTAACGTTAGAAGTGACTTTTAGAAATTTGTGTAAGGAATCATTCAGAACCTTTTATACCGCACGTCAGTCCAATCTTTGAATATGCAGCTAGAGCTTGGAGTCCATAGCAAGTAAAGCACTAGACGAAATTGACTATAGTCCCTGACCTGAGGCATGAGCTACAAGGGAAGGCAACATGAAATGAACCTCTCGGCGGTAGAAGACAGAAGTTAAGGGAGACATGGTTACCACATCCAAAATTGTTATGGGAATAGATAGGGTAGAATAAAGTTTTAGCACCGGTGGTACTCGCACAAAGGGTTCATTGGTATAAAATTAGTACCCAAATGAGCCATAGACATTAAAAATGAGTTTTTCAGTGTAGTTTAACAAATGGAATTCACTAGGTAATGATGTGCAGACTCCACACAGTTTCAAATGTAAATATGGAGCCCAATAGCTAGTTGAACACGCGCATACTCGGTTAAAAAAGGCGGGACTCGAGAGCTAACGGCTCGATCCTGCAGGCACAAATAGTAAATACATAGTCGCGGTGTGGAGAGGTATTCCAGGGTGTTCTGCTGAGTAGACAGTATTTACCTAGGAGGAGGGACATGCTGATCAAAACACTAAGACATTATGTAAACTGAATTGTTTGATTACGAATAAACTTGCGTTGGTCAATTGTCAACGCAAGCTGTTCAATCGTGATTGTTTGTATAAACATTAAATGTGACTTGTGTTGCCGAGTTTGCACAGAGTGAAAGGTATTGTTGTAGTCAACAGTTTGATTTTACCCAACAGGTTACCAGATACTTTAATAAAGTATAACGATAGTAAATTTTGAACGTGGCTTACTCTCTCTGAACACACCTGTAGCTCACGCTTGCAGCCGCGGCTAGACATCTGCATTTTCCTACAGAAATTAGTAAGTATTTTCAGTTTCCTCCTTGCTGTTTTATACATTTATAATAGGGTGTTGTTAAGACTTTACAATTTAACTACCCATTAACACCACCAACAACAATGCCTTTGACTTGTAAGTTGATGTAAGCCACGTGATAGATTCACGTTAAGTGTGTTTGTGAAGAGTCAATTTTACTACATGTGGGTTTTTAATCCTGTGATTTTTTGATTTATTGCCTGTAGTGCAGTGTGTATTATAGCTCGTAGCCGAATGGTTCCGTGTTCGATTCCCGGGCAGAGCTGAAAATTAATAATTACTTGAGAGTTGGGTAATTGTTGCTGGCTGCATCTTGGGGGGGGGGGGGTTAAAGTCATCAGTAGCTGGCGTAGAAACCTGAATAAGGCCGACACACTTCCTATCCTCGACAATGGTGGGAAAACCATAACTTGTGTGGCTTGCGTTATCTTACGACATACCTGACTGATGTCCTGTTCAAGCCAGTTCTCCTACTACGCACATCTGGGAGAAGTGGCTCAAGTCTCAAGAGGGATCTCCACGTCCAGAGACCACAACAGACATTTCAGGGGGTAGAAATAGCCTTAGATACTCTATCCCCTAGAGATGTATTTTATTGTCTCGATAAACGTATTTGAACAGATGTTTCCCTAATTCCTGAAGTGTTAATTGTCGTGCATATAAAGGTTCCCTTCACTTGGGCTGTAGGAGACTAACAGTGGGGAAAACCCCCCGCCCCCATACGTGTGTGAGGCCGAAGCTGTTGTCAACCGATTCGAGTCTCCTAGAACCCAAGTGAATGGAATGTTTATTTCCACGGAAGTGTGGATGACAATTTTATATAAAAGTTATCACTGGGGGAGCCTCTGTCGTTGCTGATAACGACGTTTGTTGCTACTGCCGTTGCCAAGTCGAGAACAGCGTTATCACCGGTGACACCATTCGCCCGTGTGGTGGCTGACTGGATACCTCGTACGTGTATCATAGTGGACACATTGAATACATTCTTCGAATAACTTTAAATAATGAATTGACAACAGAAACAAAATTGGTTGTATTAGTTCGTCGTATGATTCTAAACGTGTTGTCACACATGTCTGTACGCCCTGTATTAGTTCGTCGTATGAGGCTGTTTGCTCGCAGCCTGACGTAAGTCACAGTTGTCACACATGTTCTCTCTGCAACCACATTGAACACTGATGTTGATAGTTCCTGTATATAGCTGACATATATAGTTTCGTCAACATAAGCGGTCTAAATGAACAGTAGGTACTGTATTTGATGTAAAGAGGTAGCCTAGTTGCGTGTATGAGACTTGAAGCGACCTTTAACGTAAGATTTAGATTTTAGAGCACAAGTGCCTGTACCATAGACACTATACCATAAACAAAATAATAAATAACAATGGGCCAGTAGTTAAAAAATTATTATTGCAAAGTCGTTTCTTTGGTATCGTTGGAATACTTGATCCGTATTATCAACTTAAATTTTTTAGTGCATGTTTGATAAAACAATTAATTTAAATTTTGTTAACCAATGATTTATGGAAGTATATCTGCACAGTTTATACCTGTATAGTGTGTGTATTGTGTGACTTGTATTAAAATCAGATAAAACTATCATAAAGTGAAATTTCTAAATGGTGTTTGCAAATTAGAATTTTCCTTCCGAAAATAGTCATAAATCCTCGACAATAATATATAACTAAATATACAATATAAATGACAGTAATATAACTTTGTATATATTTAATCTGATTTAAGTTTGATGTTTTCATAGCAAAATGGAAATGTATATATATAGTTGGCAACTGTGAATTATTGCTGCAATTATTATCCGGGAGTTGTCGGCAACTTACACATTCAAACGATAACAAGAAATGTCCAATTTATTTCAAATAAAAGATCAAAATATAGCTAAAAATTTAGGCCTTCTCGTGAATTCTGAAAAGTATGAAACATTAATTAAAAAAAATCGTGGGGCTGCCGCGATGTACTAACAGCTTGAAGTAGTCATAATATTTTTGTTTATAAAGTCCTAAGAGTGACTTAAGAGTGAAATTGACTTTCCTAAGAGTGAAAAAGAGTACTGTATTCAGCAGGCGAGGAGTCACAATAACGTAGCTAAAGTATGTTGACCAGACCGACTTGAGAATGGTCCAGGACGGACCAAACGTCGTCGTCCCTTCACCTTCTAGTGTGTGGTCTGGTCAACATACTGTATTCTCGTGATTACGAGGGCCGGTTTCAATGACAATTCTGAATGGGGGGAGGGGTGTGTGTTACATGATTATAACTAAAAATAACGTGAGCAAGGGGTTTGATTTCCTATTTAGGATCACATCCTATTTTCATTAGCCTAGTTTAGTAGTGTTGCACTAGTGAGAGGTGTATGCGATTGGACTCGATGCTTGTCAACTTACCGATGGTGATTTAAGGTCACCGCAGTTGCTTACTGACCCAATGGCAGGAATACTTTAGTCCTAAACATAGTTCAGGGGCCAGATTCACAAAAGCACTTACGCCAACACTTACCAACGTGTACATCTTTTCTCAATCTTTGGCGGCTTTGTTTTCAATTATTAAACAGTTAATGAGCTCCAAAGCACCAGGAGGCTGTTTATAACAACAGTTGAATGGGACGTTTTCATGCTTGTAAACTGTTTAATAAATGTAACCAAAGCCGTCAAAGATTGTGGAAAGATGTACACGTTCATAAGTGCTTGCGTAACTGTTTTCGTGAATCTGGCCCCAGGACTATAGTAGACTCATTTTATTATATACACCTCTCGGTGTATATATCAAGGAGAGGATTCTGTGGTTGGTTTAATAATACATATTACTGCAGACCGACAGGTGATGTTGATTCTACAAGGGTAAGTTTTCAACGCTGAAATGTTCTTACTCGCGTCATGTGTAGCGTACATGAGGATTTGCGTTATCTGAATGTATATGTATGAGTATATGTGCGTCTGTATATATGTACTCACCTAGTTGTGCTTGAGGGGTCCCCCCTCTCAACTGTCAATCAACTGGTGTACAGATTCCTGAGCCTATTGGGCTCTATCAAATCTACATTTGAAACCGTGTGTATGGAGTCTGCTTCCACCACATCACTGCTTAGTACATTCCATTTGTTAACTACTCTAGAAAGAATTTGTTCAATGTTAGTCTCTGTGGCTCATTTCGGTACTAACATTCCACCTGTGTCCCCTTGTTCGTGTTCCACCCATGCTAAATAGTTTCTTTGTTCACCCTTTGACAGGGTGGACAAAGTCTTTGTCCACCCCTGAGAATTTTGTAGGTAGTTATCATGTTTTCCCTTACTCTCGTGTCTTCCAAGAACGTGAGGTTTAGCTCCCGTAGCTTTTCCTCGTAGCTCATACCTCTCAGTTCAGGGACTAGTCTGGTATGTACATTTTTGTGAATTAGTGCTAAGAATTGGTGGTCCAGGTGCGGTTACCAAGGTGGGAAGCGGAGGCAAATTCCTGAGCTTCGCCTTACATTCTTGTTTGGCCCCGCTGAGCCCCACCCACAGGCTATTAATTACACCTCTCCCCCCAGGTATCCCTGACAGGACCTACCTGGACCCGGGTCTGAAACACCTGGACCCAGACTCACGAAGCAGTTACGCAAGCACTTACGAACGTGTACATCTTTCCTCAATCTTTGACGGCTTTGGCTACTTTTATTAAACAGTTTACAAGCATGAAAACTTGCCAATCAACTGTTATTGTTATAAACAGCCTCCTGGTGCTTCGGAGCTCATTAACTGTTTATGTTTGGCGGCTTTGTTTACAATTATTAAAGATGGACAGGTTCGTAAGTGCTTGCGTAACTGGTTTATAAATCCAGGTCCTGGGCACCAGAGGTGTCGCGAAGTATCGCGGAGGACGCCAACGATATACACTATATTTTAATATTAAATGTATACAGTTTTAAGGAGCGAGAGTCGTCCCACAAGGAGGTGGAGACGAGGGCCTTTGGGCACGACGCCTCGTGACTCTTGACTCACTATTAAGACGTCAAGCTCCTCAGAGCTCGCCTCTTGCACTTCTCTGAATGAATCAGGGCTATTTTTGTCTCCTAAATTCTTGACTTATTTTTGGGAGGGTGCGGGTAACTTTACGGGGGGGGGGGGGGATGCGGGTAACTTTACGGGGGGGGGGGATGCGGGTAACTTTACGGGGGGGGGGGGGTGCGGGTAACTTTAAGGCTGTAAGGAGAGTAACTTGAGCTGGATAAGAGGGTCGGCAGTGTATTCTCAAGTGTGTGTAATTACTCAAGTGTAGTTACAGGATGACAGCTACGCTCGTGGTGTCCCGTCTTCCCAGTACTCTTTGTCGTATAATGCTTTGAAACTACTGACAGTGTGTGTGTCTGCAGAATCGAGTTATTAGCTCTTGGACCCCGCCTTACTAACAATCTATTCCTCTTATTATACCTACTACATATATTTCTCTAACCCAAACGTGCGCACATCCCCAGAAAGCTGCCCGTAGCTAACTCCCAGGTACCTATTTACTGCTAGGTGAACAGGCGCATCAGGGTGAAAGAAACTGACCCATTGTTTCTGCCTCGTCCTGGACTCGAACCAGAGCCCTTAGGACTACGAATCCCGATCGCCGTCCACTCAGCCGCCAGCCCTCTGTAATGACTTGTAATGTGTCATGACTCGAGAGAAATCTTAATCCTGTTCCTAATAATTCTTGTTTAATTATCTTTCTTTTCTTACTTTCCATGATTTTTATTTACCTTTTTTCCCATCTTGCTTGTCTTTTGTTTTTATTCATATTTTTTTTTTTACTAAAAAAAAGTTTTTAGTTTTCAAAACTTTTTTTGTCAGTTTTTTTTCCCCAAGTTGTGACAAAACAATGTCTCGTTGGGTCTTTGTTTTAACGTCCGAGTTTGTAAATTTTACCATAAAAGATATCAAAGTGTTTTATAAAGATTTCATCATCATTCATTCTGGGAAATACAGTGAAATCGTATATAGTTTTGAGAAAT